GGGAAAAAAAAAAGAAGAAAGAGAAGAAAGCAAAGGCACTTGTAACTAATGAACCTTTGAAATTTTGAGACACGGACACGGACAAACTCTAAATTTTATTCGTGCAAACGAAAATGTAAATACGGAAGTAGTGATTTATAAAAATATCTAAATGAACATATAGCTTTAGTGTGACTATGTATATGTATATTAAGCAGTTTAACAATTAAAGCACTTTTATTGAAAAAGAAGAGAAGCTGACGAAACGATTATCTCTTTATCAGATTAAAAGCCGTCTGTTATTCGTAAATGTTTAAATCCTTTCATCAGGATTATGGCTGCATTCCAAATGGTGAAATAGAGGAATATTGCTTGTAACAGGGAAAAAAAAAAAAACCACAACAAAGAAACAAAGTTTCTTCATCCCCAAAAGATTGTTTCACTATCCCACCTCCAAAACAAGAACAAAACCCCAAAACGTCTGAGAATTTTTTTATTTTATTTTGGTCTCATTATTCAATTCTGAGACTTAACAATTACAGGTTGGAAAACCCATTTGAAAACAGTAGGGCCACGTTACAACAAAGGTCTAGCCAGCATTTATCTCGTGTTTGGAAAACAGCTGACAGTTGCGAGGGTTCCCCCCTTTCCTCCCTTTCCTTTAAAAGCTACCCCTTTCAAAAGGGAATCATAGACCCTATCTCTGTTTCTCCAGGTAGAGTTCGCCCTCTCTCTCTCTCTTTCCCCTTGCACGAAGGGGTGAATTGAAAAATCATTTAATTATTTTCATTCTAATCGCCTTAATCCCCCTTATACCTGGAGCAAATGATGGTAATGGGATCCACATGGAAAAAAAACCCGGGGGGGGCGGTTAGGGCAGAGATCCTCCCGCCCCTGCGCCTTGGCAGGTGGAGGCGGGCGGGGCGGGGCTTGGCTCGGGGCTTTAACATAAATAAAGCATTGGACTAAACCTCCTCAATCTGAGGGCAACTTCTTATAATTTTATTTTTTTGTTCCAGGTGACAGGGCTGTAAAGTGACCCTGTATGTTACCCTGGGGGAACAGGGGACCCTCCTGAAACAGGAGAATACCAACCAAAACCCAGCTCCTTCCGCGCCATGCCAACCCCCGCCTCCTCGGAGCCTAAGCAAGGATAAACTGATTAATTTTCCCGGGTCGCCCTCGCAATCCCCGAGGGCCGCTTGGCTTTGCCGCCATCCACGGCCGGCGAGCGGGCAAATCCCTCCGGCTGCGGGGGCCCGCTGCAGCCCAGGGGAGGGGCGGGGGGGGGGAGGAGGAGGAGGACGAAGGGCAGCTCACCGGCGGAATAAATGATAAGTACCGCCGTAATAGTGCTCCTATCTGAGGCTGCAGGAATGGAGCCAACAGCGAGATCAGCGGGCGCTGCGTTTTCTTCGGGCGTTCACAGATCTGTACAAATACGGGCCCTGCCGGCTTTTATAAACAACTTTCAAAGCACAGTCAATCAATCACGCTGGCAAGCAAGCAGACCAGGAGCCTAGGATATATACAAGGCATAAATATGTACATATAAACCCTGACAATTTTGGAGTAATTACATTTTTTTTTCTATAAGCCTTTCTAAGAGAAAGAGACAAAGTCAGGAAATCACAGTGGAAAAGTAGGAGGTATTGTTAGGAAGCTATATTACATTATATGCTTAAATACCAAGGGAAATATTGGAAAAGAGAAAACAAGTGTCTAAGCAAGTCTAAGATATTAAAAAAAAGTTACTATGCTTGCAGGCAGAGACACAATTTCAAGAACATGTGGCTGAAAAACATGAAACCTGGCCGCTTCAAAATATAGTGAAATAGATCTGTAAAAGACATGAGTTTACCAGATTTTTTAGTCAGAAAGGTATTCTTTGTGTTGCAGTCATTTCTAGTCTTACTTTAATTTGAAACGTATTTGTATCTAGGGATAGGTCCTTGCAAATGCACTGTGTTGTTTTGTTCTCTTTTTTTTATGATCTTTTGATAATAAGAGCTCTGCACAGAGTTTGTGCTTTCTTTCTGACACCGAGTCTTTTTCTTGCAAAAGGACATGTGTGAACAAGGAATCCATAGAATGAAGGGTGCAACAGGTCTGAACGTCCCAGTAATGCAGAAAGAAGTTGCATATCAAGGTAGGAGGAAGATAATAAAGTTTCAGGACTTAAAGAGAAGGACATATTCTCTGCTAATGTAAATTAGGAGTTTCACTTAAAGAGAAGACTTTGTTGGTACTGCAGAAATTGTGTTGTTCTTGTGCTGCCGTGAACCAAAACTGTGGCTCCTTCTTCTGAATAGAGGACTTTGAGGAAAACCTGGGAAATGATGCTCAGAGAGCAGAATATGTGGTCCATGATAAATTATCAGGAGGAGCTTTTCCGAACTGGTCAAACCTGCCAAACAAGCTTCTGAAACTGAGGACCAGTGTTGGTTTTGCTCACGAAGGACATTGTGACTGCATTGCCTCTGTGCAGCTATTGCCGGGAATAACTTTCTTGTTTTGAAATTATTGCATTTGTTGTGTAAGTTTTCCTGTCAAGAATAAACTTGATATTTGGTCATTTCACTCTGTGGTTGTCATCTGTTAAAACAAATCCTATAAGGAGCCTAAGCCAAATACTACTCATGTCAGGAGAGTGGGTTTTGGTGCTGACCTTGCAAGCTTGACTGGGTCTTAGAGACATAAATAGTAGGAAAAGTTGTGTCATTGCCTTCTCAGAAACTTAGAATGTTTAAAGATGTGTATGGTCAGCAGAATAGGGATTACATCCAAGAACCCTTCCTCTTTTAAGGATTTGTGTTTAAAACAGATTGGATCATTTGGTTGTTTAAAGGCAGTTTCGTTTTCATATAAGAATTTATGCTTATCACCATGTAAGTGAATACTTCATCAATCACAGCTTTGTTCTTGTGGACCCAATGAATTATTTTTCATAGCAATATATTATGGAGTCCTTTCACAGAAACTTGCCTTGATGTGTGATGTGCAAGACTGACACGAGTGATAAATGTATTACCTGACAACTTCCAGTTAAAATAGTACAGCAAATAAGTAACAATCATTAAAACAGTATCTGAAGACTCTGTAAATATGTGAAAGCTCACACATTTTTTTTTACCCTCAAAGATTCAGTTTGTTTTGTTGTGTTTTTTGTTTTTTTTTTGGTTTTTTTTTTTTGTATACCGGGTGAAATTATTGTTAAGATTAATATAAACAAGCTTTTCTGGAAATAAAGAAAGCGCAAAAGGAGGAAAGGGGGATAGAAGTATTCAATACACACATCTGACAGTATCAACCCCATCCTGTCCACCCCCCAACCTGACTTTCTTCAGCCTTGGAGTATTCTTTCTAGACTTTGTAATATGGCAAGTACAATTGTCTTTCCAGAAGGTCTTAGAATGCTACTGATTCACTTAAGACCGTTGGTGAGAAGTGCCTGCAAGGACAGGTTACTTCATTAGCCTACTAACACAAAAATCCTCCTTTGCTGCATTACATGGTACACCTGTATGCTGAGAATTGGCTACAAAGRGGATAAAGCCAAATACTTCAATCATTACTTGAGGAAATTAGATTATAGTTATAATCTAATGCATATAGTTACATAATAAAACTGAGACACCTTTTCTTTTATATCAATATACTGCTATACCTGTACAGGGGGAACTTTGCTATTAATTTTATTAACAGATCTTTGCATCATGGACGTTGAATTTTCTCTGAGGTTAAGTGCTTTTTGGCACTACTTGTACAAATTAACAGTATTACTCACACTACTTGTAGTAAGCATAAAGGCTCCAAAACCTCAGCATCCTTTTGGCTTCTTTTCTTTATTGAGGATAGATTATCCAAAAAGATGTGAGAATACTGCTTTGTTTTAATTGATAACAAAGTGATATTTATCACCTTAAACAGTGTGTTGAGACCATGGCTCTGTTTGAAAGTGAGTCATTAAATATACTTTGAAGCCTTTACTTCTTCCAAAGCAATGACATCCTGACTCTCCTCTCTTGAGTTACCAATTTGCATTTGAGAGGTGGGGCAACAATTTTACTAGGGTGTAACTTGTTAGGTGTGTGGTAAAAAAAATGCAGATAAGCTTCTCCAAATATTATCTCATATTCTGTGTAAAATTCTTCTTAGTTGGTGAATGACTTCAAAAATAAAGATCATTAATTAGCATAAATGAAATTAATTTGAGGATGATTTTGGAAGGAAGTTATTGACATAAAACTGTACATTTTGCAACATGGGCTTATTTTTCTGTTGCCTCTGTATAATAGAACAACTGTCTGTACCTAGAAAATATTGATACTTCCTGAGAGTACATCTTAACTGCTATTTTGTTATTTAACCACTGTGAAGAAATTACAGAGAACACTTTATATTTTAAAAATAACAACACTGCATGCTGGCTATTTACTAATTTGGGGGGAAGAGGTATAGGCTGCAAAGAAAGACTGCTCAGCTTCCCTGTGGACAGTCCTGGAAAGGTGCAGATGTGTTGGGCAGGGCAGAAAAGCTGTTATGTTACTGCAGGAAAGAGGGAGGATGAGGTATGAATATGTCTGGGACCAGGTATCCTTTTACAGAGACCACTAATCTCACCTCTTGAAAACTTCTGTCTTTATCTGCATTAAAACCAACAAAATTTTAGCTTTAATAAGGTCTTATCAAAGAAAATTCCATTTGTTTTTCTGTTTTACTATTGAGTCTTTACACTCAGGCTATAAATCTCGATTTATGATTGACAATTTAACTTAATATTATTAAATATCACTCATTTAAAAAAATTCAATACATTTCAAAATCTTTGTAATTTTAAATAAAACTTATTTTATATAGGAAGCCAGAAAAATGTCTGTGTTCCATATAAATCTTTAAATTTATGTTAGGTACATTGTGAACACTTAATACCAAGAAAGGGAAATCATCTAGTAATACATCTATTTTTAAAAAGTTGAAAAAGTATTTCACAAAATTTTACTAATCATGTGACTTCTGTATTTCATTGCATATCTAAGCCTTATTTATAGGGAAAAAAGATTCAAGCATTTACCATATTTTTGCAGTGATAGATGCAAATGTTGACTATTTACTTTAAATTTTTCTGCTATTCCATTGGAAAAAAACCAAAAAAGTCAGCTTTTGCTAGAACAAATCAGAAATGATACTGTCAGACTTCAGACGGCATGGAAAAGTATTAAATACATTTATTGATATAAATTCCTAAGTGGAATATAGAAATAAGAAGTTACATTTAATGTGAAAACATATAGCATCTTGATTGTTACTAAAAGCACTCTGAGAGATGTACTTCTTTAGCACTTGTAAAGAAGTTCTGTGGTTTTCTCATTCGTGTTGTCATGCAGATGATTAATGCTGCAGAAGTCAAGTAAATTCAAGAAGTTCTCCAGTTATAAAAATATATTTCAGTTCAATTGTGTTACATGTAACTATGACAATTATTAGTCTGAATTCTGGATATGAAGATGGAAACTGCAGCTATGAAAATACTTTTTTTAGCTCATAAGCAATGGCTTAGATAAAAGTAATGCAAAGATTAAAGAATAAATGTGCCATCATGCCCCGTAAAGGAGTATGTTCTGCCTGGTGCAGCAGAGCAGTATGAACTCTTTTTTACCACCTGTGAAGCCTGCAGGATTTTTGTCTGCTGAGTTGATAGTACTGATGTATAAAGGGGTCCATGGGAGTGAATGCAAGTCAGTTTCTTGTGACTGAAGGAGGACTTGCACAGCACAAGCAGCCAAATGTTTTCTCAGAAGGGCAAGGCCGCTTTTGAAATTGAAATAATATTTTCAGGGATTGTATATTTCACRTGTAAGAAAACGCAATACTCAAACTGTAGACCAACAGAACAAATTTCCACAAGGAAAGCAAAGAAGAGAAGTTGTAAATAATTTTCAAAATCAACCTTACATTTGAAAAGAATCAGTAATTTTCTTATGTTATGGTCATATATGAAAAGTATTGCAAACTCATCAGATTTTGGCTCTTGGAACACACATTGCTGCATCTACCTCAAGTCCAACAAGAGCATTTCTTGCCACTCAGCAATCTACTGGCATGCATAGTGCTCAAAGGATGAGTTCCTCCTAAGAGAATACAGTATACAGATTGAATAAATGGTCTTTCTCCAGAAAAAAAATTAGCTAAATAAGCTTTGACACATATTTTTCCCCTTTTTAAGAGTATCTCTTCTGCATGGATTATAGGATTTTCCATAATGTTAATAGTAACAGCTATGCTTGTTCTAAAGTTTACACTGCTTTTCACTGKCAGAAACAGACTATTGAAATAACAAATGAGGTTCACTTTCTCAGAATGTGTAAATGTCCCAGCATAGAGTTAAACTTTCAACAGCTGAAAGACAATACCATCGACACGTACCTGGCACTAGTTACTCGGGTTTATTTTTTCCTGGAAAGCAGTTTTGGGCGACGGAGTGGCGTCCGGGTTTCCCAGGTTGTTGTGCTGACAAACTGCAGTGGTGGTAAAGGCAGGGAGTCTGACAAAGTCTCATTAATCATTTTAAATTAAATCCAACATTCCACTCCAACACTGCCAAGAAGAAAGCTAACTTTTACAAATGAATACTCTCCCTGAAAATAACTGGTATCCTGACCATATTGCTTTCACAAAAATATGCTTGATTTCTGTTAGGTACACATATAGTACTTTCAAGCTTGAAAAATGCATTTTTTGGATTGTTAGGAATCTGAAAAGTGCTTTTATCATGTTTTCTCTATTAGGATCTATGAGTGAACCACACAACTAAAAATTAAGTCTCTTTTTTCTTTCAATGAACTGAAGATTTTTTCTTTTCTAAAATAGTACGTACAGAAAGTTTGTTTTTAATGCAAGTAAATTTCACATGGGAAATGGAAGTATTCAGTTTAACTATTTTCTCTAAGCATATTTATATGAATAAGAAAGCAAATTTACTAACATTAAGATCAGCAAAACCACTGAGTGATGAAGGAGCAATGTGATCTGTTCTAAGTTTTACATACACACTTCTCCAGCTACTCCTAGCTATTTGATTATGATTTAATTACACATCATATGGCAAGTCTGAACTTTAAACATCTCATTAAAAATATGACAGTATCACATAAAATTTTATCCTACTAAAATCATTGTTATATGCAATTATAAAATTTGTATTTCTCTCTAAGGCAAAATGAAACCATAATGTGAGACAGGAAATACTTTATGTTGGATCTTTGCCCATTTTAATAGTGCTTTTGAGCTTAGAGGGTAGATTTTACAATGGTAGAGAACAAGTCATCAGCCTAAATGTTTATTAGTTTTAATAAATCCATGAAATATTTGAAAAGGAAAAAAAATCCTAATCCAATAGAGGGCAAGTAAATCTGACTTTCCTAAGTATTTATCATAATTTTAACATGATCAAGTAGGTATACCTCAATTTTGTTTAAGTACTTAAAATAATACTTGTTTTCTAAAAACAGAACTCTAAACAAGATTGCACAATGACATCCTTACACAGAGAACGAAACAATTACCACTTCAAAAAAGAGCAATTCCTGTTGATAAATTTGTTTATGCTAAGGACTTTGATGAACTGCAGAATACTGAAGAGGAAATAGTAACATTGAGCTGTCTAGCTAGTCAGTTTATTTTCTTAAAGCTGTATTTTCAAACTGTTTACATTTTYTTTTTTTAGTGTGGGGGTGTGGAAGGGAAAGGTTAAAGAGAACAAATCAAATTTTTTTTTCCTGAATGCAAATTTCTCACTTCCTTAAAAGTCGACAAACATGTCTCAAACTTGTATTTGTTTGGGCTTCTGTATGTTGAAGCAGCTTTGATTTATTTTAAAAAGTCAAAGCTGTATATATATGTTGCTTGGTGTTTGAATGGAAAGTATTCTAGACAGAAATAGAGTTTGAGAAAACATGTAGTATCAGACACCGTCTATAGCTAAGCCATGTGAACATCTATGTTATATTCCTTCAATAAATGCAGTCAGAGCCTCAGAATTTAATAAAGGCAAACATGAGCTGTATGTGTGACACATGGACACAGGTACACTGATTTTCCTGACATGAACAGAAAACAGTTTTCCTTCTGTCACATCTGTGTATACTGAAGCTACCGAACTTTTTGAAATGGCCATTCAGAACAATTCCAATGTCTTAGGACCAGAACAGCTAGGGGGGATGGGCTGCAGGCTCATTTCTTCCTTCAGTGCTGTGTACAATGCATACAGTTAAGAGATAAGGCAACACCACACGGCCAAAGTTCAAAGGACATGCAGTGGTGGAATCACAATAGTTTGGGAATCACTCTGCAGTTAAAAGCATGATCATGCTCATGCAATTTGGCTTGAGATCCTATACCTAAGTCTTTTGAAGTGCTTGATCAAGTAGCTATTTCCACATCACATCATTTAGTGACACCTGGATCAATGAAGTATCATTATTTTAAAATGTGCGTGGAGGCACCAAGTGCATTGAAGAAGACACTGCCCAAATCTTTGTTTTTCAAAGAGTTTCTGGAGGACAGCTAACAGAATTTTTCTCAGTATTTAAGAGTACTATTACACCTGCTTAAGACTTGTTTTTCTCCTTTTAAAACAGAAAATCACACAACTTCGTGTAAAGTCTAGATGGCTAAAATGCAAAAAATTACTTCTCAGACACTTAAGAGATAGACTTAAACCAGATAAAGGACAGAATAAATGTCTATACCAATTAGTTGTTTCGTGGCTGCCTCTGAGGGAATTCACACTTGACATGTTGTGTTTGCTGTTTTCTATTCAACTCTGTGTTAGTAAAATAATATACAACATGAGTAGGGTGCTGATCATCTAAAACTGTTCAAAATCCTATGGTGAAGATCAGATGCTGTTATCTGCATGTCATTAGGGTTTTGTTTCTCCTGGATTTGTCTCATGGAAACTTGAGTTGTATCATCCTGTTTCTAATATATCTTCTTGGCTGCTACATTGGCCTTGAAGTTTTCCAAATCGTGCTAATAGATGTACTCAGCTATTCAGAAAAAAACATATTCTGCCTGCCTGGAGGCCTTACTCTGTATCAGGGTAACGTGAAATTAAGAGAAATGCAGACTAACAATTCATAGGCTCTTATTAGTGCAAAATTAAAATCAGTGTCACTTATGTCAACCTAAACATATGTCAAAAAAGAATTAGGCCTTGCTCTGCATTTGTGGTTTGAGGAGAAGATATTTTCTAATAAGAAYACTCCTAATTTCAAAATTCACTACATTCTTCTTCTAATGTGTGTAACTTGAAGAGCATTTCTTAGAAAACTGTATCCTGCTGTCTCCACTTAAGATCACTTTAAGGAGCCCAGAGACACTTGTCCTTTATTGTTGGTTTTACAAATTATGTTAAAAGGTTTTTTGGTTTTTTTTTTTTTTTTTTGGTAATAAGGAGCAAATACCTGTACCTTAAACAAAGCTCCTCACCATACCATATACTCTTTATTTCTGTTTGAGTTTAATTGACCACTGCAGAACACATCCTTGGACTTTCTAAAATACATGACACAACACAGGGTGAAGAGAAGTAATCCTGAGCAAGGCAAGTGATACTGTAAACCTGTCTGGAATACAGCCACAATACTGCTGGCTCCTGGCTTTGGCTGTGTATGCTACATATATGCAATGACATTTACACTTGATTAAATAAATCAGTAAAAAAAAGTATTTTTTCTGTGTGCATTTCTGTTTGTGGACAGAGCTACAAACATCTGAAATAGCAGTAATAGCTACATTTTTTTCCCTCCCATCACTTATGTAGCCCTTGTACGGACTCTTCTTGCATCTAAAACAAATGTAACACTCCCTAGTTGCCCAACAGAAAGCAGCAGCATAGACAAAGTGTATGACTGTGAGGGATCAGTCCTGCAATAGGCTTTCTACATAAAAACTCCATTAGTTCTATTTTACAAATTAAGAATACCTTCCCACCTCACCTCATGGTAAGCAAGGAAAGAGTAAATATACTTGTTACCATGATGTATCCAGATGCTACAGATAGCTGAACATTGTGTAAACAAACATAATCAGGAACAGCTCTTACTTCAAGATGTTAACTACATGTTATATCAATTTAAGAAAAGCACTGCTCTGTGAGTTGTCTGAACAAAAACTAGGCAAATCCTTATTCAATTTCTGCACATGCACAGCAGTTGCATTGCTAATACTCTCCACACTTTAAAAAATATCAAGACACAAGTCGACCAAGTAATTTTTGAAGTATTTCCATAAATCTATAACTGTTTAAAATCTAGCTACATGACAGATTTACAAAGTAATTCAGTATCTGACTCTGAAACAGCTCCCCAATCCCACACAGTCACTGCTCTAATCTTGCACTGTCAGTTTTTAACAGCTTTAGCAACAACTCATCTGGTATGTATTTGCCAAGGCATTTCCATCACTGACACTTCCAGACTGAGGGAACCAGTTGAAAGYAGCAACACGTTAGTCACTCCTACCACTTTCCCTTGTTCAGATTTCTCCTTGCTTGTTGTGCTGAATATGTGATTGTATTTGCTCTGTTTCCCAAAACTAGTATCTGCAAAATAGGTTATGTATGTAACATACATAAACCTCTCTGTACATTGCATGATTCCCCCTGGCTAGCCCTGTATGGCATCAGGGTTCATCTAAAATAGAGCCTGTGATCTTTAAAACTCAATGAATAGCAGATTGGCAACATGCTAATTCAAGTTAATAAATACAGTATAAAATACCAGCTTAAATATTTTACAAGTTCTATCATCTTCTAGAATGAACTTTATTGTAGTATTCAGATCAATGTTACTCTAACTTAGGTATCTGAGGTAGTCAGCATTGTAAAAAAATGCAAACRAAAGTCAAACAGTAATTTAAGAGATAAAAGGAGAAATTTTAGTTAAAATACTTTACAATAAAATATTTATGATTATAAATCTCTTTAGTTAAATATATACACATTACATGGTATTCTAAAAAAATGAACTTTAAGTTTCAAGCAGATCTAAAGCACAAATTCACCACTTTGTTAGACAGTAATGTCAGTTTAACATTCATTAATGGCTGTGTCAGACTAATGGCATTGTTTTGTGCAAAACTAAAAACAAATATGAAAAAAATCCTTCTGTTCCCACAGAAAATAGTTAGAAAAGGTAGTTTACACATACACACACAGACTTTGATTGCGTACAGAGGTTAGAATGACCAGCACTAAAATAACCCCCATCTCTACAAAATAATTACTATCTTGAATTGATGTAATTTTTGAAAATTATAAATTTTAAGTGCTAGCAAATTGTGCTTTTAGGCAGCCACATGGCCAATAAGGTAGATGTTGTCATAAAGGTGCCCTACAAAATCTTCACTAATATTCTGTGCAGCTCGTCGTGTATTCCGGATGAATTCCCTCTTTGACATTTTGTTCTTCACGTGAGGGCTTGTTAGATCAATCGAAAGTAGAATCAAAGAGTAACACAGTACATAAACTGCATCTAGACAAGAGAGAATAAATAAAGTTTAAAAAAGAAACTGATCATTAAAAATATTGTTCCCTGTCKAAGAACCTTATGGTCTTTATGATCGAGGTTCATAATTTTATTTATATATGCACACACATATGCGCTCACACACATACATACAACTCAGAAAGGTATCCCAGTGAAATAAAATTTGATATAGTAATTTTCAAAGTAAAAATGTCAGCACACTGCCAAATGAGAATTTATAAATCTCTTTAATATTTCTACATAATCCAACAGCCTCTAAGGGCTTTATGCATGTTCATTTAAACAGATTCTTCAGGTTTGTGTAAACTAAAGCCAACATCCTGCAAAAGCTTATCTTTTAAATATGCAAACAGTTCCACTGCTGAAAACTGCCTCCCCCAACCAATTAGAAATGCCTGTTGACTTGAATGTGCCYAATATTCCCTTTCATTTCTGTGAGACTATCCACAAAGTAAAATGTCAAGTGTAYAAGATTTTGCAAGAAGAAATGCAGAAATAGAAAAAAGCTCACGTACAGACAAAAATTAAGGAAAGATAACATAGAAATAAGCCCAACTAATCCTCTAAAAAAAGAATCTGCATGTTTGGTTTTGTTTTTAATTGTTTTTCAACCCAAGTGGAATAATGACTCTATACCAAACCATTTTATAATTACAGAAATATTTGTTTGGATGCTGATTTTAAAGCTATCAGAAACAGTAGCATCACCCAGAAATATAAGGACTGATCCAATGAATCAAAGCTCCGTTTTGCTTACCAGGGCTAAGGCCAAGCTCTCTCATCAAATCAGGATTACAAGCACAGAATCTGTGAGAGAACTTTGTAATGAGAGTTTCAAGGTATTCCCCACGCTCTTCAGGAGCATGAATGTGTCTGAAGAACTCTCTCAGTGCATTTGGCAAGAACTGATTTCTGAAGTTGTGCAGCGTCACAAGGTCATCCAAAACATCTCTCCTGGTAAAATGAAAATCCACATTATTAGAAAAGTTTATTTTAACTGTTTAAATATGAAAATGTCTAGATTTTAAAAACAAAATTAAAGTTTAGAATAAGCTTTTGTTTTTGCTGAAAGGCAAAATAACAGCACAGCGATAATATAAACACATGTTCTTTGCTTATTTGTAGCCAAATACTATAAAAACACACAACAATCAGAATTCAAAGTTTATATTCAGTCAAAGTATACAGAAAGGCTCTGCTTCCTTTAAACAGTGACAAAATCGATAAAAAAGACAATAAAGGGAATAGATTCATGTATGTCACACATTTTGGTATCTAAATAGAAGCTGTTACAGGAGTATCTTGTAAAAACCATGTTTCAGCTAGGCAAAATTTGCCCATRGAAGTCATCAGGGTGTGATGTTCTCAAGTGTTTTTCACTGAACACAAAAACATCTAAAAGATTCAGATCCCACCTATATTACTAGATGTCAAAAAGGCAGTGTGAAAAAATAATTCGGAAGTAAATCTGGAGTAAACCAAAGAATATTCTCCTGTGTTTAACCTGATTTTTACCTTTTAGTACTAAGATGGGAGTTTCAACAATTAAAAAACTAGTTTTTATTCTTGGTGTCTGATTATACTGTTTATGAAGGGACGATAAATGGCAGTAGGATTCACTAATATTAACTTGCAATCTCATCTATTAAATGGTTTTGTATTTTTATTATTGTTTAAGAAACTGATAAATCTGAAGTTCTACAGATAGGACTGTCAGTGGTGATAACACTACAGAATGACTCCTTTTATTCCTTTAGTCGTCCAGGCTGAAGAAGATGAGAAGGAGAGGATTCCTGCTAGAAGTGCTGTTGGCCCTCTGTTCTTCCTACTTAGGTGCAGTTACTACTCTCCTTCTCTTTCAACCTCTCTTGCTGGTTCTTCTCTTTCACAATACTACCCCAACCTGATGGCACGAGAAAACTGTGGAGATAGAAAAGCACACCACAGCAGGGAGACTGCTCACTTCTGCATGTCTTGATATCTCCAAGAGGATACTCCATTCCACCTTAGGAGGTGTGCGCAACTTCCAATCAAGAAGTATCGGACAACCAAGTAATGGTTAGATGATTCAACATCTGTCAAAAAGCTATCATCCCTTAGTTAAGTGATAACTACTTCTTCTGAATAATACCCATAGAAAGGGGAAAAAAAATCAAGTAAAAAAAMGCAGCAAAACATCTGTGCAAGCTTTTGTGAGGATATGACATTTATTATTTATAGGTCATATTTTTGAGGATTCTTAAGTGTTAAGACAAATAAATACTTGAATTGAGTAACTGTTCAGATTTAACAGAACCATTACCTAATTGCCTTTTCTTGCCTTTTTACATCCTTGAAGTTGCATCACTAGATGCAAAATATTGTTAAATGGGGCTGTATATTGAAAATTAATAGAAAATGTCTTAAGAGAAATTTGAATTACCTTTCATCAAGGTAGATTCTCAGTTTCTTCCAATTCAGTGTCCTTGTGCAAAAGATAAACTTAGCTATTTCCTTCGGTGAATCATCTAGTATGCCTTTGGACATAAAATAGTTGACTCCCTGAGATAAAATATATGTACATATAAATATGTTTAATCTTTACAAAGTATTTAGGAACAAATATTCTACTTCACAATGTAGGAATGTAATCCTACTAATTAATTGGTCTATTTCTCAGAATGATTCCTCCTCCTCTTAATCACAATTCAACATGCAGAATACACTCTAAAATTATAAATCAAATGCAAAAAAACAATTTATTGTTATGGTTGAGATTTTACATACAGTCATAGTAGAAAATTTTAAATTATGAACCCCATAATGAGCATGGTGGTTCCTCAATAATTTCTTTACAGTGTATATCAGTATTTTGCTTTTCATACTTTAGTGATAGCATTTAAAATGTTGCAGGTACCATAATTGGTAATTTAATTTTTACAAATAAGAAAATCTTAGCCATAATGAGTTTAGTCTCTAATATCTTTCATTAAAACAGTAATGTTCTCACATGTATACAATGTATCACATTCAAATAGATGCATTAAATGCATTTGTTTAAATGTGTAATAATGCAAATAAACACAAGCACGTTGATTTCAAAGCATAGGTAAGTATCAACATATATAAATATGCATACACATAAATAAGAACATTATACCTAACATAAAAATAGTTTAAAAATACAGAATAGCATATATTTTATACTCATCACTTCCAGAATTTTACACTTTGAACAAGCACACATTTCTTATAGAATAAACATGACAAATTTAAAATATTTCAGTGATATTCTGGATTCTCTCTGGTCATTGAAATATCCYAAAACATTTTTCTTATGATCTCAGAAATCAAAACCCAACTAATGGATTTAAAAAGTGTTCATGCTTTTTAACAGCAAAAATCGAAACTTGAGAATAACTAACCAACTTCTTTCAATTCAGTATGGGAGGGGCTGGGAGCAGTTCTCAGCTTTTGTTCCAAAAAAGTGTTATGATACTTAAGTACAACATATCTTAGCTATAGCGTAACGGTTGAAATGTAGAATGAGAAGGACATGCATTTCTGCAAAGTATAATGTACCAAGGCCACAACCTAAATCACCTTTAAAATACTTCTGAAATATTTTTTCATAAATGTTCTGATATCAAACTTCACAATATTTTGGAAGTCTGCCCATTTAGTTTACATTACATCTGTAAAATGTAGGTAGGGGCAACCTGTCATTCAGTGTATAAACTAAACTTCCCAGTGCTCTTCAATTTAGTGTGAAAAAGAAATAAAGGACTGAGTACAGGTTTGGAACATTTTGTGAAGTGGCTTAGTAAAGCAAAGTTTTAGTGGCATCAAGCAAGAAAATAATTAGAATATATGCTTAAGAACGTAAGTTAAAAGCCAAGGAACACCTGTAGTAATAACTATTTTTTAACCAGTCTATAGTTTTTGCTTATAAATTTATAGAAAATAGCAGTTATCAACATATGTTTATTTTGTTAACATAATTATTTATAAGAAGAAATAAAAACATAAAGGTTTTTAGATAGGTAAACCAAAAAAATCTAGCAATGTTATGTCCCAATTTTAAGAAAAATCTTTACTTATGATGACAATGAAACATGTAGTGCTCTATAAGCTTGCATTTCAGTGTAAATTAGGTAATATTTAAGTTTTGTCCATAATATGGATGGACAACTTAACATTAAGTACTTTCTTGAACCAGAGGTAAGAAATTAAATATGGGAGATTAAAATAAACAACAAGGATTTTTGCAATTTATGTAAGATGAGCAGAAGAATAGCTCCTTTACATATATCCTGATTCACTGAGATTTATGTGGTTGCTTCAGTAATAAGAATTTGCTTAAGATAATACAAACTGAAGCTGGGCAGTTTGTAACATTCCTGCTGCAATTAACAAACACTTCTGCAACACATCCAGAAAACATCTGGAATGGCTTAGATGCATCAGGATGAAAATAACACCTTCTTTAAGATAGACAATGGGTTGCTTTCTTTGTGACAGTAAATGCTGCAGYTCTTTTTCATGCACTAGCTTGCAACTCAATGTAGGAACTCCACCTGAGAGACTACAAAGTCTCTGCATTATTATTCTGTCTCTAATTCCCTCTCTTCCCCTACCACATGTAATGCTTGACAATATCATTCCTCAACTCCTTCACAAGTAAACAGGATATAGACAAAAGAAACTTCACCACGTGCCATTGTTTTTAGTGGCTTTTTATTCCATCCTAAGCTATCAAAAATATTTTGCAACAGTAGAAGCCTGAYTTCAAGTTCTCAAATTCTGTCTCACAGCAAATGAAATTTATTTACAACATGTCACTAAATCTGCTTTCCATAACAGTGTAAATACTGCCTTGAAAACCCCTCAGAACCCTTGCTTCAAATAAATCACTTTGGGTAGCTAAAATGTCATTTGTGGCATATGTACTAGCTGAATTAAGTCGGTCTACACACTATTAAAACCTATGCTAAGATTATTTATCAGTCAGCTGGTGATTCTCTTAGGAAACATTTGACGCAGTGTTCTGTGCCATGATCTACCAGGTATGAAAAGGCCTTTTTAACACTTGAGAAATATTGCAGAATGAGCACATAAAGTAGTTTTAAAATTCTGATTCAGAGCAATATAATGTTCTTAGCATTAGAGAATTAAGAAAGATGACTCTAAGGTTATTTGCCTATCTTACCTCTCTAGCAAGAATATTATTCTGAATTTCAGACAGCTTTGGATAAAATATTAATGTATGGAAGTGCTGATTTAAATTATATGTGCAAATAATTTTAAGCATAGACTAATAGTAACAACAAAAGCCATTTGTTGTATTTCCATATGTTATTTTTTTACAGTTGCTCCTTTTTTTTTCCCAGGCACACATTGCTTGTTTTACCAACTTATTCTGTTACACCACTGACACTCCTTCCTTGCTTCCTACCTGTTTCCAACAGCCTTTCCATTTGTTTATATCCCTATAAATGGAAATCTTACTTTTCAGTGTTGATTTCATTTCTGCACTGATTCTCTTCTTCGTTAAGAGTACTTTCATAACACCTCAGTACAGCAGTCAACACTAAAACTTTTGTAGTTGCTTTTGACATCTCTGTTTAGGTATGCATACAAAATAAACCAGATATATCCTAGGTTAATGGCACAGGAATTCTGGAATCAGTGTGTAGTATAGTAGGGTTTCAATTTCTATTGGTGATTCCAGGTAACACTAACAATATTAGCAAATAATAATTAGACATGTATGGTATTATTGTTCCCATTTTTCTAGGGAAGTACCCTATCTTAATATATTTAATGTGCATCTTCTGGAACAAAATGCACAGTATTGATATTATATAATACATATTTTGATTATTGTTTACTAAGTTACAAATCAAGTAATTTGGTGACAAATGTGGACACAATATGTAACATACATTTCAAACAGTGTCTCACTGTAGTCTTTTAAAAATAGTCTCAGTTATACAAACTTATGATGGCAGAAATTGTAAGTACAACACAGAAATATTTTTTACCTTACACAGAGTCCATAAATAATAATTTACAAGATTAAACTCTGATTTTCATGTAGAGTTGTCAAAAGGTTTCAGCTCAATGTTCCTTTTCAATTTTTTTAATAAATCACACAAAAGGACTTCTTTCCTCTACAACATACACACACTTACAATATTCTCCAGACAGATAAATCAATGCATCTCAAAATTGGCTTGCTTACTAGATCACTAKGAAATAGGATAAGTTTCAAAAAAATTGCTTAGAAATATAGCACAGTAAACATTCCATCATCTACAGACTATAATTAAAAGTCAGGCCAGGTAGCTTTATACAAGTGTATAACAATTTATAACCAGGCAAAAGGTAAGAAAAATCTGATCTCCCTGACCAAAACTACAGGTGGTTTGTAGTGAATGAAACAATATGAAGAGTGGAAGCCAGGCTTAGTACAAGTATTGTCTGTCTTACTGTACTTTATTGTTATGCTATATAAAAGAAATCCTGACCTTACTGAAGACAGACAGTTTTGGTACAATACAGATTCCAGAAAGTCCATAAAAATAAATGCATTAAATAGATCAGTTAGAACCATTAAGGCTGAAACAAAAAAACAGATCTTTCCTGACCAGAAGATTCTCTTTTATACCTTCAGTTTCAATTTTAACTGCATAGAATTGATCCATGTAATAAACTTGACAGAATATTTTGTAGGGAGTTATAAACTGTATACAAAACAAATAACTTCTGGGAAATAACTTCTGGTTGCTTACAAATTCTGAGTCATAAGCACACAAGATGAAACGAGCACTGCATGAGAAACATTCACATACACCATACACTCTTTAAAATAAAGTACACCAGAAACCATGTAGGCAGATTAAACAACATGGTATTTATATTCAAGTGTTAATATTAACACTAAACCACCCCCTCTCTCTGAAGAAACAACAAAAATCAGGTTCTAAAATCCTRGCTTCAATGGTGGTGCCATATGAAAAAAAGCCAACAAAACCAACCAATCAAAAAAAACCCCAACCCAAGCATGCACTGGAGGGTTTTTTTTTTCAGATTACGTGTAATGTGTTTAGGCACATCCTTTCAGAAGAATGTGAGCACCTGCTATGAGTTATGCAAGCTCATGCACACAATCAACACATTAAATTACAGCAGATATCACAACACCATGCACACAACAATGGCTAACCAGAGAATCCTACCACAAAGTGTGTAGATGCTCTTCCCTACCCCGTGAGCCACCGCTAGCTCTGGAGCTGCTGCTGTGGAGCCTGGTTACCCATTTTCATGACATGGGCGGTGTCCTTTGGAGAATCTTGCTCCTGTGGTTGTAAGTATTCCTATTTTTATAGTAATTTGATCAGGTCTGTTATCAAATGCAGAGTTGGGCAGGAAATTCGGAGACACAATTTGTAATAGTGGAATGTCACCTCATTTATTCCAGTCAGCGTCCTTATAATGATTCTGCCAATATCACAGTTGTAAACAGTAAAAGCAATAGTATTTGTGAGTTCTCCTGAAATTCAGGCCCTGAATGATTCTTACCAGGCTACGGTGCTCCACAGGGAGAGGGGAACAGAGCCCTTAGGAGATACCCTGAGGTTCTCGTCTCTCATTGAAGAGATTGTTTGTACTATTATTGTAAAATATAACCATTATGAAGAAGCAAGAGTACCATAATAAAGTTAATACCTAATTTAGATATGCTGTAAGATAGCTCTAGTTTGCAGATCTTAGTTTTCTTTTAAAAATAATGAATGTTATACTAAGTGCCCCTTCTGAAGGCTCAAAATACTTTAAAGATACCAAGATTACTTTAAATAAGGTTGAAGTATAACAGAACATTATAAACTAAGTTACGTGAAAAATCATGTTAAATTGACATACAAAGAAAAACTTGGAAGAACAATGCTGCTAACATTATACTTAATGTATTATTGAAAACATGTAGTTACCTGAATACTGCATTTCATTTGAAAACTTTTACATTTATTACTAGATTTGTGAAAACTCTGCAGAAAATCAATACTAATCACTCAAGTGGCCAGGTGCTGGATATGTCTTGGTGCCATGTATCAGAGTTCAAGGCAGAGTTGTACCAGAGAAATTACAAAACAGTCTGTGACTGATAAAAGCAATGGTCTCTTAATTAAGCAGAACRTAAGATAAAGCAAGAACTTAAACAAAATCACCTTATTGCAATGAGTCATAGAATTGTTCACAAGTTCACATTTTCTGTATCATCAGCAGAGTGAAACTTGCTACTAGAAATACATCTATTTGTATCTCTTAATCCTTTTTCTGCTTTGGATTTATTTAATTACCACTTCCACATGTATATATAACTACATGCAGGAAGTGAATACTATTTTTGTGCAGTATTGTGTACACTTTTTTCCTAGGAAATGTGAACCAGGAATCTGGTTTTACAGACAAGAGACTCTCTCTGTCCCTTGGGCATTGACTGTGCATCTCCCAGGCAAAAACTGTCTACTCTTAAACTGTTTTCTTCTTTGAAAGGTGACAGACTGAAAGCAGAAACTGACTTTTCCAGTTAGTTACACGGACTTAGGAATGGAAACCTTGCAGTTTGACAATAGATTATTTTTGAAGATAAATTTATGTTGTTCTATAAGGAAATATTATGCACAACAAACACACACAGGAATTAAATCAAACAGATCTTCAAGATAGTTCAGCAGTAGATCATTTTCCTATTTCAAGATTTGCTCCTTGATAGTGGAAATAGGTAAAAATCCCCTCAAAAAAATGTATTGCCATAGAAGTAACTGGACYTTATACCTCAGCCTGCATTGCCTGAGGTGGAACCAAACTCATACTCTGCAGAAGCAGTTTAGCATTTTTATGTACATAAGCGCATTATTATGTATTATTATGCTCTTGCAATTCACCACTGTCTCTTCAGTTAGGATCTCTGCCTCATTCCTACACCAATATATAGTTATCAGTTTCTGGCATCCACAGATCAGACTGGTGTAAAGAGCACATGACACAAGTCATGTAAATGATGTTTACAGGTACAATATTAAAAAAAAAAAGAACCAAATAAGGCTGTAGGCTAGTATTAACCATCCCTACAGTAAAACAAACACCTATTGAAACTTTGTTTTTATATGCCTATTATTATAAAACAACAACCACGATTATTGTAACCATTTATTATTGTCAGAAACAGTTCACTTACCTCATCAGGGTTAGCATTAAAGGTGAGACTGCCCTCATCTAGCTGCATATACAATTTTCTAAAAGAAAATCCTAGAGGTGGATTCTTATTGTATATAGAACAGTGACCCCAAGTGGATTTGCACAACCTATGAAAATAGAATTAATCTATTATGAAAAATCCATTCTGAATTTAATAGATTTTACAGAGGCAAAATGTAATCAACACTGCAAAGCTAAATACTCAAACTATAGGAAAAGTTAGAAGTAGGTTGCTTGTAACAGTTATTAAGTCTTTTCTAAACCCTCAATTATATGATTAACACTTTCTTCTCTTAGAGGTTTYGGTGTATTTGAGTGCAGCCTCAAAACATATCCCAGTAGGTGGCATCATAATGACAACCACACAGCAGACTTCTGGTACTCCTAGAATCTGAACACTGGAGAACAGTGACAAGTTCTTCTCCTGCAGTACTATGACATATTAAAACATTGTGCTTCTTTTCTTGTGCCCCAATTGTGCAGTGAATGGGACACCACATCTGCACAAAATTATGCCATTAATTCAGCACTTTCCCCATCTATCCATTTTCATCTGATCTTCTTCCTCCTGTCTTGGACAGTCCTAATGACTAAATCCAGCCCCATCCTTCTCTATCTTCTGTAACTTCTCAGCTTCTTTCCCTTTTATTCCACCCTGATTCCATATCTGAGTTTCATCAGTTTCTGTCCCTCATCTCAGTTTCTTTGATGATACCATCCGAATTAACCTTTAACTTTTACTTTCTACACATTCTAGACTCTTTACTGAACTGGTGGTTCTGCTTCAACACACCTGCCCTAATTAAGGACAATGTTTGGGATCCAGCAGATAGCCACTGGAGGCATGACAAAGATCCTCTTTTCAATTCAGGAACCTGGGTCTTATTTGGAGTGAAACTGGAACTGCAACCACAGTACTTGCCAAAGTTTAAACACATCCAWTGCACGTGGAATAGTGAAGACATTTACCGAAATGACACAAATTGAGATTTTTATTTATCACTAAATCAGGACACACTTTCTTTATCAAAGGGTATACTTTGAATGTAAGTATTATTTGAAAAGATTTCATTAAAAATGATGGAACTGTTTCCTAGAATGAACTTCAATGAAAATACTCCCCCCCCATATGTTAAGAATATATACTGCATGCAATTAAGAAGCTCTAGTATCTTTAAGCTTTGGTCTAGAGCATTTATTTGTATTTATGGTGGGTTTGATACCAAGAACTGATCCCAATGCATTGCATATTGATAAATTTAGAAGCGCACTGGTATCCTTCACTAGAAATCCTGTTTCCTGTCAATGTAACAGTCCCCAATGGCAGAACAATTGTGACTAAGAAGTTGTATTGCATTATCCTTGTGATAGGTTCAAAAGCATGATAGGAAGGGAAGCTGCTTAATTAAAAATGCAGCAGAGCAAGGAAATAGATGAGAGAGGGAAGAGATGTACAAGAAACAAGAGCATAAGGAAAGGAAAATAACCTGAAAGCAACCCAACTGCTACAGTAGTAGTACTGTCTTTAAGGGTGAAGAAAATGCTGTGAAATATGCTACAAGTTCTGATGACCATCTACTCTAAAGAGAAGTATGATTTCATGAGTCTTTCCTAGTGCTATAAAACATAAAATATCAAAGTTATAGTATCATAGTTAGTTAATTACATTTTGTTATTACACTATTTTATCTGAAAGAATTTTCCTGTATTTATTTCCCAGACATACAAACCCTGCATATGTTATACATAAATGTGTTTCAAGTGTTAGGCTGAAGAAATTTCTTTTGAGAAAAACCAACCTTTTCCTTCCTCTCTCTATAAGCATTTTCCAAAAAAATACACCCCTAAGTTGTTACAAGTGTAGTAGTTAAGTTCTCACTCCTTTTCATTTGCAAGTTTGCCTGAATAGGTTTGATTGCTTAAGCTAGACATCTGAAGTTAAGAAAAGTAATGATATAAACACTTGAGTTGTGCTTTGAGCTAATACAAAAGTGAAGACAAGTCCCTGTTTTTTTTTCCCATCCTACCTCAAAGAACATGTGTATAATAACACTCATGCCAAGCACACCTGGGTATGCAGTAATCTCGAGTAATACACCACAATAATTAGAAATCCGAATAACATACTTCTAAACAATGTATGTTTCCTCTATGTCAAATGTCATTTAACTTCAGAAATCTTTGCTAGGATTAACATGACAAAAAGCACTAAGACATTTAAAGTCAATGATTTTCACTATGTTCCAGTGATACTTCTTGCTTACCCTTGCCAGAGGAGCTCATCATTTGCCAGATCCTGCCAGACACATGATGCTAGACAGAGATCAGTTGCATTCAAGTATGACAAAATGGTAAAACTAAGCTCTGGTGGCAACATTTCCAGGTTAATGAATCCTTCTTGTTCTTTAGATTTTCTGGCTTTCAACAGGTGGTAGATGTCAATGCCTCCTTGGGCTTGTTTGCGATGGCTTGTATTGGAAACATTGTTAGCAGGTATCCTCCTACCATGCTCTCGGGTAAGATAGCCTTGTCCATTGTATCCTTGCTGCTGGAGTTGCTGGTTTCTAGCAATTCTCCAGAGCCCCTGACCCATCTGCGAGCCTGCTGGACATAAAATCCAAATTAGATGATGAAAGCTATTTGAAAACATCTGAAAGACAGACTCAACACGTAAGTGAAGATTTAGGCCTGATCTGAATAGGTAGAGAGTTTTGTCTAAGTTTTGCAGATTAGGTAATCAGTCTTCCTGAGGCAACTTCATGAAGAAATACTGAAAACAAAACCCATAAAAAAACCTAGAAGACTTTTTCAGATTTTTTTTCTCCATGCTTGAAGAGCTACAAAATTAACAACATGCTTCAGCAAAAGTACCAAACAAAACTATATCCAATGCAAGTTAAGAAGCCTTAGGCTTCAGAACATTTGGAATCTTCAGACTTCCTTTAAAATTTAATAAAAATACCTTATTTAGAGTCAATGATATGCTAAAAAACATAAGGAAAAACAAAAATGTATTGGGTAGAGCACAAGATGAGGCTCTGACTGACACTGAAACAAGTTTAACAACTTCAGTGATAACGCAGTAAGGATTTTGAGTGCTCAGAAACAAGAGAATTAGTATTTTTTAAGCTTTCTTACCAGATAGAATAACATAAAGCCTTGAGAATAAGGTACTCACTTACTTATGTAGAGAATATCACTGCAGAAAAAGTATAAAAAGCCCTTTTGTAATGTAAAACAAAAAAATAAAAATATATTTGCAATTTTAAAGACCAACTGAAGAAATTTCACRGAAGAAACAAAATGAGACATCATTTAGGCTCTCACAGCAGGAGAGTCTTAAACCAGCTGCTGAAAATTCACAAGCTCTACTACTTGTGTAGCTACTCAGCAGTTTATACACCATTTGTTAGAGTACATATAATTTTCCTAATCACATAATAATTTTCTGCTTTGTAATAATCCCAGATGAATGCTTTCAGAGCTCACTCATAATACAAGATGAGCAAACGCATTTTTACAAAGCCTTTTGAGTAAAGGTGTCAAAAACTGTATTTCAAAATTGTTTTAAACATATACTTTCAATCTTCAGATTCAATAGTCTACTCAAATCCATGTTTTCAAACTTCCAATAACATAACTTTATCTAATAATTGAAACCTCTTGATAGCTTGGCTGTAGTAACTACCACAGTAAAAAGAACATCAAACTTGTTTACGAATCACTGATCTTCTCTACCTTTGTCTGGTATCTATCAAAGTCTGATTTAAATTCTGCCTTCTTCATGTTACTTTGCTACTGCATAGTAAATTCTTTTGCAGTGTTAACAAGTATGATAGGATGCTAAAAGTAACCTAGATTAAAGCTGCATTAGTACTGGATTCTACTTCATTAAATAAAAAAACAACATATCCTCTAAACACTCTCCACTTAATGGTAACTGAGCCCTACAGCTGCTGCTTTGCCGACACAACCCAATAGAAAACGTTCCTTCCTTTGATGCAAGCCCACGGAAGCAGAAGTTTTGTTCGTCGTAGTCGCACTACAGCCGAGGCCTGCAGGACCCCCCGTAAGTGAGAGCCTTTCAATCCTGACGCCGGGCAACCAGGCTGGCGGGGGGAGGCACAGCCCCAAAGACAGGCCCAAGGCCGCTCCGGGGAGCCGAAGGCTGAACCTGCCTAAAGCCACACCGCGTCCCGGGAAGCTCCGCACCGCCCCCCCGAGCCACTCTTCCCCGCGCACTGCGGCGCCAGGACCTGGCCCGGGCACGCCGGCCCCACTCTAGGGGCAGCGGCAATCGCAGCCCAGTGGGTGCTGCCCCTAAGCCCCACTGGGCCGCCCCCGGAGCCCACGCTGCCGATTGGCCGTGCCGCCCGTCCGTCCACGCCGCAGCGGGGCACCGGCCGGCCCTACCTGTGCCAGCTCGGTTCCAACCGCCGCCGCGACGAGCCCGGCCCGCCTCCGTGCGATGGCCGCGCCGGGCAGGAGGAGCTGCGCGGGCCCGGCGGCGGGGTCAGGCGGACAGGCTGAGGCGGACAGGCTCAGAGAAGGAGCCTCGACAGGGAGGCCGAGGCCGCCGCCGCCGCCCCGACTCCTGCCCAGGCAGCTCTGACGTCGGCTGTTGTTGCTGGAAGTGACATCACAAGGAAGGACGTCGGGAAGCGGAAGTGGCCGCCGGGCGTCGCGGCGGCAGATTCGATCTGCGCCATTCGCGTCCGGGAGTGTCCACGGGGTCCGGCCGCGCTCCCAGGGAACGGCGGCGGTCCCGCCGCGCGGGTGAGCGGCAACATCGCTCTCGGGGCGGGGTTTGTCCCAGCAGTGCGGGCCGGTGGCGCCGCCCGGCTCCCAGCCCAGGGTTTTCCCTCTCCGCGGAGGCTGCGAGCACCGGGGAGGCCCGGTTTCCGGCTGTTCTAGGGTCGAGGAAGGGTGGGTGGGGAGCCGCTCCCGCTCTTGCGAGTTCTCATCAGCGCGCTGGCCCCGGGACCGCAGCCCGCCTTGCTGTATACTGGCTGGACACGCTTTTCTTTCTTTTTCCTTTTTTTTTTTTTTTTTTTTTTTGCTGGTGTTCCGCTGCTGCCCAGGGCAACCATCCCAGGACGCACAGTCCCGTGTGCAAGTGGCGTCTGCGCTAAGTGTGTCGCAGCTGGCACAGGTCCGTCGTTTGTTGGTGACGTTTTTGAATCTCGGCGTAATGGTGCGATTTCACCCAGCTCCCCGCCTTATGCAACAGCAGAGTCTAGATTCAATTAGAAGAAGTCAGAAGTCTAGTAGTTGGGCATTTGAAAGGCAACTTTTACAATGTTAGCACACATGGTGACTTGCATGGACTAGATTTTTTTGGTTTTTGTTTGTTTGTTTTACAGATTCTTTAGATACTMTATGCAGTTTTGAGAGTTCTTTGAGCCGCTTGCAGTTGTATATTATCATATCATGAAACTTTGTTATAATCGAGTTTGTTCTGGATAGCCAACGTTCTTTAACTTCGGTTAGGAATTCTTACAGGCAAAAGCTTTGTACCTCATTTTCCTGTGTTCACCTTCCCCAAATTTTTTACCAACTTGACTCTTACTTCTATGATCTCTTAAGCTATTTTRTTTTGTAGTGACAGTAGTTACCAGTTTTTGCATCCGGAGGTCTGGCATAAAAAGAAGGGACTGTTGATACTTTTGAGAAACAGCCTTTATGGTTAGATAAATTTCTATGAGAGTGTCTTCTGTGAATATTTGTATTACAGATTAGAGCTTCAATTTTATGTCAGACTGGGTGGAAGATTCCTTGTACTTATTTATCCTTTTCATAGATCTGAAAACTGATTTGGATGTTAGTGGTTTAATGTTTTGCTGATTCTCCTGTTTTCTTCTTTTTTTGTTTCTTTTTGTCTGTGTCAGATAGTTCCGCAGGAAGACACCTTTTTGTAGTTTGCATCACCTCTTTAGATGAGTTGCTTTCTTCCACAAAGCAAAGCTCACAATGAATTAACAGTGGGTTTTCAACTTGCATATTACCATGAAAAAGTTAAATAGGGAGTTTTTGGTTCTCATGCCAATAAACTTGAACCCATATTGCTTAAATATCTAGGCAGTCTGTTACCTCTTTCTGAACAATTTCAAATGTATTTAATGGATCATCTACATAGAGAAGTGTCTTTGCACAACCAACCCTTGCTCTTTTGGCCAGTGAGCTTGGGCCCAGGTGAAGAAGAGAATGAGAAGCATTCTAAACTGAAGAATGCAAAAGGCTTTCGCTCCTTATGGAATTTCTGCTCCTTTTAAACTGCAAAGAAGCTCTTTTTCACTTAATTTGAGTGGATTTAGCCAGCACTTTCCTAATATGCTTTCAGATATGTTTACCTTTGGTAATTGATTACATTGAGGATTACTACTTGATCCTGTTTAGAATGAAGGAAGATTATGGTTGGTCTTAATTGGTATCAACCTGTAGTTCTGTGCTATATTGTAATGCTTTGGAAATAGTGTCTATAAAGGGGAGCAAAAACCCTTGAATTTCAGTGATAGTTCTATTGCATTTTGTAATTTTTGTGTGCATAATTTTTTTTTAACAGATGTACTTTTAAACTTTCATTTCATAATCTGAAAGAAGAATAGCATTTGGAATAATGGCAACGGGAGACCTAAATGGAAGTTTAAGAAAAATAGAGCAAGGACTTCGCTTGTTAAATTATCCAAGAGATGTGGATTATACAATGTAAGTGGCTGTGTGAAAATTTGTGTTAATACATGATGACAGCAAGACATGTGAAAAAGATATGTGTAAGTATGAGCATTGCAGCCACCAGTAAGTAAGCAGAACATATCTGTGGCAACTTGGGGTGTGGTATATGTGATCTGAAGTATTAAAGTATACAGCTTTGCTCTTCTGAGCAATCCTTAGAAAAAATTCTGAAGTGCATCACTGTCTTGTTCCTCTTCTACCATTCTTCTCTTTGCTTTGGTTAATCTCTCAACTTTCTAATTTCTTTGTAAGTGCTTGCAAAACTTCCTTTAAGAAATTTTATCCTGTAAAGATTAGGAAAAAAAATCTTGAATGTTGAGCTGGAAATGCTGGTGGGCTTTAGACTTGTCAATGTTTAAATTACATGAAGATCACAAAAAACATTTTTTGACTATTTTACAGATAGCAGCAAAGTCTGCTGAATGAAAGAYGCCTGGACAAAAATACCTTAAAATGAAAGATATTTGCATATAACACACTAGCTGCATTTATGTCTTTCAAATTAAATGTTTGAGTTCATGTGATGAAAGGCTTTTGTTATCTTCTGCTGTGTAAAATACTTTTGTTTCTTAATAGGTTAGTTAAGGGTGATCCAGCTGCATTTCTACCTATCATCAGCTATTGTTTTACATCTTTTTCAACTTGCATAGCAGAGCTTTTGGTAAAGTGTGATGTGGAACTGACAGCAAAGAGTGACTTGCGTTTTATTGAAGCTGTTTATAAGGTATCTCTTCATGTTCTTTGTGAAAGAAATATAGTTTTGAGTATAACTTCACAAAAATTACACATCTATTATGAGTTTTACTAGAAAGTTAAATTTTTGGYAGTGAGCACGAGTTTTAGTTCTGTTTAGCTTTAACATGAGTAGCAAGTCGCTTTGTGGAAATGTTTAGATTTTAATGAAAATAAGGATGGATAGTGTTAACCAAATCAGTGTTGAGGCAGTTGCAGGAACAGTAATATTGTTAGATGTTAGTTTTGAAGAATACAGAAATGTATATTGGAGAATAAGATTTTTTTGAAGTGACCTTGGCAGCAATCTTAAACAYCAAAAAAATCACATGAAACTCAAAAAATTGTAATGAAAGCACAGTTAAGAAATAGACCTATTTTAAAACAGTGTGCCATTTTAACATATAAAGTTGAATACTTAAACATTTATAAATTGGAATGAAGTTCTTAACTGATTCAAACTAAGTTTAAACTATCCTTAACATATCCATGAGCATGTTTTTATGAAAGGTGGATTGTTGATTTAAGAAATAGTGGCTTATTCAGACTAGTTTTCCATCTGAGAGATTGTGTTACAGAGAGGTTCTGTGGGAGCCTTAGCCCACTGATGCATTTGCTGAGATTAATAGAGCTTTGTACTGTGCATTCACTTTCACTTTTTCACTTAGTGCTTTCACAGAAGTTTTTTAGTATTAACTTCCATAGTCATCTATTTTGTGAATCTTAAGACTATGAGTTAAAGTTTACAAGAGTGATGTGAATGAAAGAGGAGGTAAGTTTAAAACCATTCTTTCTGGAAGAGGAGATTTGTTTAAAGCCTAGTTAGAAGAAAACTATATAGACAGATATATATAGAATATCTACAGATAGTCAAATTAGAAAAGGATTAACTGCTAAAGTGCAGAACGAAAGRGAATTGTAGTGAAATAAGAATACAGACATGCAAAAAATACAGCAAATTGTGAGCTGATTTTGAAAGTGAAGTAAACTCTTATTTTGTTGCAGTTTCTTCGAGATCAATTTCAGTATAAACCAATTTTAACAAAAGAGCAGTTTCTTCAGTGTGGCTTTGCCGAAAGAAAAATGCAAATCGTTTGTGACATTATCAACAGTGTGGTGAAGAAACATAAGGAATTGAGTAACTCTAGTAAGGTACTGATCAAATGGTTACTTTTATTACAAGTTTCTTTTGACATGCTTGATACTGCAGATAAACTGGTCTTCAGCTTCTATTTCCATTGCTCATGGATCAAATAATGTAAAGTGAGTATGAAGTTCCATTCTAAGATGCTTGAATGCTTTCATTCAAGGCATGAAGCTGCCAATACTTTTGTAGTATTAAAAAAATTAGCAATAAGATAAATATATCTTGAAGGCAAATGAAGATAAATACTTGGTGTGTTTACAGTGAGTGATACATTTTCTTTTGCACTTCTTGATACAGTGAATGTATGAATCAATAAACTTTTCAGATAAATTTAAAGACAAAGCAACATCATCTTTTAAACACAACACTTGTGTTTGTTTCTCAAATCTAATTATTTTAGTCAATGATACTTGTAATGGCATTATTTTTTCTCAGTGTRTGTACTGTATCAGTCTCTGCTTTAATCAAAGGAATTTCCAGTCTTTATATTTTACAGGATTTTGTTTCCTTTGAGTTTATAACAAGTCAGGAGTTCTGTATACTTATTTTACTTTCAATTCTAGTTGTCTTTTCTATTTATAAGCAGCTTTGATGCAACCTAGCATAGGCATTAATGAGTGTAAAAATACGGCATTCACTTCTGGATCTGTGTTCTCTGTAAATTTGGGGCATATTTAATTTTTTTAGACATTATTTGTAAGACAGAGGTTTAAATGTTTGTGTGTTTGTGCCCCATGAAGTATTCCTGACCATTGTTCATGGTAGAAAGTGGGTGATGAATCCTGAAAATTTTCGTGTGTTATTTTCTTCTGTTCACTTTGGAGGTTAAATGCCAAACAAGGAAAAAACTCAGACCTTTCAAATTTGAAGTATGGTCAAATTGTGGTAAAGCTCTTGCTGATCCTAGTGGCAGTGCTTTGAATTCCAAACAGGTATGAAAATAATTTTTATGTTTTATGTCTAAAGATTAATCTCATTTGTATCAAGTCAGACTCTTGCTAAAATTTTTGCTTTAATTTATGTTTTAATATCTAATCATACCAGTTTTGAAGTTTTTGCCCGAAGTGTGATTGGTTAAAATAATAACTGAAATACAGAAGATATTGCCTTTCTCTTTTACTTTAGCTGATTTCAAAGTCTTGGTCTTAGTGACCTAGTGCTGTTGTTTGTGCTATATTTGAATTATATAAAGTTTAGGGACAACAATAGAAAAAGATACAATCGGGCAAAGAAGCTATATTGTGTTTGAAGTGTGCTTGGCCTAACAGGTGTGCTTCACCTGTTTTGAACACAGCTTTCGAAACACTTTTTGCCCTTTTGCCTGAATCTGTTCAGCAAAGATTTCATAATGTACCGTTCCTTTTGGCTTTGATTTTACAGAGGTGAAAGAATTATGCATTGAGTAAAAATGATTGTATGTTTTACTACTCTTGACTTGTGAAGGAGGTAGCTTTCCTAGTACATTCTGCTAAAAAGGTGCAAAATAAAATGGTAGAAAACTTTTAGGACTTTTGTGTGGTAACAGTTGTGATTTCCATTTATAAGGAAAATATTGCTTTTATCAAGGAAATTTTCACAAAGAAAGTATTTGGAATGGCTTCTCTGTCTCTTCTAGTTGTTTAATAGTAGCACTGAATGGGGATAGGTACATGTGTTTTAAGAATTCCTAGCAGTGGAGAGTTTCAGCTTAACGACATCGAGGAAACTGTACATGTTAAAATGCTGCACAAAACTAGTAATTGTTCATTCTTAATCATTATTTTATTTTGTTTTGTGACAGTATCAAAAGATTTAATCTGCTAGAAAGAATTGCAAAATTTGTCTGTTTTGTTTACAGGAAGCTTTCAAAGGAAACTGAATGTGTAGCTCATAGGGCTGTTTTGCTGACAGTTGACAAGAGAAACAGAGAATTCTAATCTTCCTAATTAAACCCTTTTTTTTCCTTAATATTTAGTCGTGGCTTTTATGTTGCAACTACCTATATGTATGAATTTCATTTTATGTAATAACGTATTTTCCAGTCCTCACTTACAACCCTTACATTACTGAAAGACATTAATGCCTTTATTACTGTTTATGGATAGGAAACAAAGTACACAGTGTATATGTAAAGTATGTGCATATTCATTTTGCAGTTCCTTCAAATCTATATGATTTTTTAAAAAATTAAACTGCCTGCTTTTGCTTTCTATATTTTGTAACCAATTGAAATAAGATAGATCTAAATAAATATTGGACTAATAGGTCTTATGTGTCATTACTTGGTTAATGAATTGAAATATTATTGTAATGACATTAACACTAGCGGTTTGTTGATTTTTGTTGGTTTGTTTGTTTTTTAACATATTCAAAAGAAGCCTCTAGTTGAACGGCACTCAGGAAATGAAGCTTTTGGTGACCTTCATCCACTACCCCTTCCAGCACAGGGAGGGAAGGAGGAAGAATTATGCATAGATCATGATATTGTGGAAGTTAAATGTGAACAAGTAAGAACCTCTATTTTAAGATTCTGTCTGCATGTATTCTTAACTTTTTTTACAGGATTTTTCTAAAGGGATAAAAGTTTTTATATTAAAGTTGTACTTCAGGAGTGTGCAGTGGATATTTACATAAAAAATATATTTTAAAGGTCAGAAAAAATAAAAGTCAGTTAAGTTGTACTGTCTCTTTCAAGACACGGGTCTGTCAACAGCTTCTTTTTAAAGCTGAGTTCCCTGAATAGGTATATTTTGATAATTCTGGAAGAAAAATAATTTTCTAATGTAGAAAGATGTGGTTACTGGAACTTGAAGATTGCATTAACTTCATTTGATCAAATGATGTATTGTATCTGTTCTGAAATTAGAGGATATGTTCTTATTGCTATTTTCAGGTCATAGAAGATAACTCACAAATTGAGTTTTTAAAGAGTCAGCTTGCAGATTTCCAGGAAAAGCTTCATAAGCTAGATTGGATGGAAGATAAGCTACAAGTTTTAGAAGAGAAACTGCAAGGAAAGGTGATCATAGATGAGAAGGACTGGAATAACTTATTGAATCGAGTTTTGCTTCTTGAAACAGAACTGCTGTTACAATCCAAAAAGGTATGTTAACTTGTAATTGTGGAACAAAAATTGCAGTCTTGTTGGTCTGTTTCTGCCCTCCCTGCCTCCCAATGCAGTTTTTTCCCTGATTTTAAAGGCACAGTCTGAATGGAAGTGCTATTTATGAAGTTGATGGTATTTTTTTCTTAACTATTTAATTATTTTGCTCTCTCATAGTCTATGAACCACGGATCTCCATTGGAAACTGTTTCTTTGCAGAAACCTGTTCTCATTAGTCATGATTCAGTTTAATTTTATTTACTAATGAAGTTATAGAAGGAAGTTTTTGAAAACTTTTGAACATGAAACCTTCCTTCTATGCAACTGATACGGACAAAAATACATAGCATGCGCAGTGGAAAATACAGGGTTAATCAAAAAGTTAATTACTATTTTTAATTTGTGTGTCCTTGAAACTTCTAGCCTAATCGATGGATTTTTTTCTCCTATTTCCACTTTTTTTCCCCCACTTCCTGTTTCTTGTCAGTGATGTTCATTGCATTTTTAAATGTGTAAAAGCACTATAGATGTCATGTGGCTATATTTGGCATAGCAAATGAAGCCTCTTGTTGCATTAAGACCCTAGGTTATTTTTCATGCTGTTGAAAGATCCTTGTGTGCATGCTATATAATTTTGTATACGTTCATGTATAAATATTTTGAGATAGAGTGAAGTGTAACATCACTTTGAAATTAATAATGTTATCTAAAAATTATATTCTTACATGCATGTTGTATATCCTTCAGATACTGTCAGATGCTTTCCAGAAGTTAAAAACCCTTGTGGAAAATAGTTGATTGGCATTGCATTTTTCTCTGTACTTGTAAAACGGTTGAATTTATTCATAACCAGGAGCTCTGTGCATGTTGCTGACCCCACTTGTTTGAAAATGTTGCTAATACTTGTATACAAGACATTTTTATTGCATGCCTTGAAAGTGTGCTGGTTATGTAGGTCTTGAAGTGGACAAATGTTTAGACTGATCACAAGATTATTTCTAAAGGCTGTTGCTCAATTAATGAGGATGGATACTCTCAGTTACTTTAAAAGAAAGGTTTTAGGTCAGTAGAAGCTCAAGTGATTTAGCATCTGAAATCAGATTCTTACGGATCAGTAGACATATGTCCAAATAGTACCACCAGTGATAATGTTTTCTGCTGGCAGCAGTCTCAAAAGGCCTTCAGGTAAACAGCCATAGACAGTTTTTCTCCCATTTCAAATGTATTCTTTTCAGGAAATTATTGTAGCACATGGGAAAGCTTGTGTTTCAGACTAGACTTGTTCTTTTATTTTTGTAAATTTGGTTGATTACTGCTTCAGTAACATGTTTGCAGTTGTTCATATGGTTGGAACAGTTTTTGGAAAATACTCTCAAAGATATCACTCAAAAATTTCCAGTGAGATAATTAAATTATCACCTGCAGAAACAAGTTCAATTTTAGTTTGTGTGACATTGCTGCTGGTCTTTTTTCAAAGTTAAATTAACTGGTTTTATAGATATAAATATATAAGGCTATTATATATATATATATATGCATACATGATCTTCAAAACTAACTGTTTTGCAGTAGTCGTTTGAAAACTGCTAAGAAATAATCCATTGGGCCACAGAATTGCTATTTTTTTGCATCATGAAATTGCATCTAAGGTGCGATTCACATATACAGAAACAATTCAGGATCACTCTCCTCTTACTGTTGCACTTTTCAGGGAATTTCTGTCATCTAGCCAACATAACATGAACAGGCTAAGATCTGTTTCTTGCTGTTGTCAAAGTAGCAGCAGCTATGCATTTAGCTCTGGGAAAGTCTGAAAGCTACCAAATGCATTTCAATGAAAGGAATGCAACAGACATAGTCTGTGCAGATTCTACGATTGTATTTTTTTAAGAGATAGACATGACTTTTTTTTTTCAGCTTCTCCCCATACAATATCTACTATTTCTATCTATTTGCCTGTTAGCTGATGTAATTACTCCAGTATATAAAATTACATATTTTAAAGACTGAGATTTCAAATCATAATGATAACTGATTGGTAAAAAAAAAGTCTAGATGTTGTTTGAGTGTTGCATTTTTTTTACTTTGAAATTAAAAAGGTGAATTCAAAAATATCTACTGTTTCCTTGCTTATGGAGAACCTTTTTAAAGTTAATAAACATTCTCAGTTTAAGTCAATCTAAAAGAGCTCTTTCTCACTTATGGCTCTGGGAAACAGGCTTAAAATAGCCTTCTGAGTTCTGAGCATTGAAGTAGAATGAATTTCAGTTAGTCTTTAGGCTACTTTTTTAGGACTGAGGATTGCAATTTTGAATATCAACCAGCAGTACAAAGCATGCTTACTTGGTTACGCTAAAGGCAACCAATGTTGAGATTAAATGATTAGTACAGGCTAAGAGCAGACTGATTGTCCATTCTACTCATGCCTAAGTTATATGCACTGTATTTTGGCCTGGTTCTAACCTCTTTATGAACAGCAATACTGATACTAAAAAAATTACCCATGAAATAGACTATTTTTTAATGAAGTGTATGTATGGAAATGTTGAATTTCCTTAGTCCTATGAAGATGTTTGTGCAGTGCCAACATACCTGGATGGTATAACAAGCAAATGCAAACATACTTAGTACTTAAATATACTTTTGTTCAATCAGAAACAGGGTGTATGGCTAAAATGCAGTAAACTTGTATTTCAGAGAGACTTACCTAAAGAGTTCTGCAATACAAGACAAGAAAGTACTTCTAGTGGCCTTCCAGTTTCTCTTGGTGAGTATTAATGATTTTCCTTTTAATTAACATAAATATACTAAACACTTCTTGCTGACCTTGACTTAAATAGTTTAAGTAGATAACTGCTATTTAGTGACCTCTGAATTTTAAAACCATGCTGCAGATTAGAAGTTAATCTCCTCATCATTTCATGTTTCTAACTTATTCTCTAGATTTAGTTGCCATAGTAGAGTTAAGTAGTACTTACAAATAATCAAAGATGCAGATAATTAAAGTGCAGTTGCTAAAGCTGTAAAAAACCATACTGTTATCTGGACTTCAAAGCAGTCATCATATTTTAAAAATGTGCTATTCATAAGCACAAAGAGTTCTTTTTGCTGCCACTGATATGTTTTATGATGCTGCTTTCTTCTTCTATAATGGGGATCAAGACAAATAATGGTTAATAATCTGTGTTGTTTTTCAACTCACTACTGAAAGTTTTCTGTATTTCAACTCTAAAGCAGTTAGTAGCTATCCAGTTGGCATTTTTGCTAAACTGTGCTGTTTGGAAGAGGAAGAAAAAAATCTTTTTCTTCCATTTTCAACATCCATTTAATTTTGATAACACATAAGACATAAATGAAGCAGTCTTAAGTGGGAAATCAGTTAAAAGCATTGCCCAGGCCGTGAGTAATTCTTCTGTCTTCCTCAATGGTAGCTCTTTATCCCTTAGCTCTATTAGCTCCCTTAGCTCCCCCTGACCTCCTCATTGATTTGGCCTGTTTCCCTTGTGGCAGCTGTTACTCCCACCACCAGTGGTAAGGAGGATATTCTATTTTCCATTTTCATATATTAGGTTTTTTTGTCCAGTGTTGAGATCTTGCATGATAATTAAAAGGGAGTCTCAGTAAATCAGTTTCCATGGAAATTAGGAAGGCAGTTTCTTTGTTATGTCAAAGATTGTTTTTATTGTGGAGTCTCAGAAATGGGACCTTCATTTTACAGGAAGACATTCATTTTACATAGAAAGCTTGCAACATGTTTAGCTTCTTTGATAAGCTTAGTGGTGTGTTACTGACACTTGAGGACCTTGTAGTAAGTAAACAGGTGGGTGGTCTTTTAAAAGAGAATTTCCATATTTTCAGACTCTTTAAATTCCTCTGAATTTGTTATTCCTGCTTTTCTAAAATTCAGAAAATTTTAGGCATAAAATTATAGGGAGAGTCTTAAGTCTTTTATCTGAGAAGTATAGTATTTGGAATGTTTCAGGCTCTTTTTTGGTTCTAGCAGTCTTCAGAAACCATACACATAGAGAATAAACAATTCTTAATTTTAAGTACTTAAAAACAATATAACATGATTTTTAGATACAAAATAGTGTAGCTAAGTATATTCCAAAGGKATTATGTATAGATGGTTGCATTACTAAAAATATGGGTATGGGAACACTTTTTTTTCTATATACTAAGTTCTCTTTCCTGACAATAGTAATCTAAAATTGCAAACAATATCACAGCCTTCTCAATGAAAAAAAAAATTCTGCTACTTGTAAGACAAGTTACTTAGCACAAATTAAAGACATGTTTGAACAAGCAGTTCACAATAAAAATAATGTAAACTATATGAAATTCCTTTTAAATGGTACTGCAGTTGGATGTTCATAAGTTTTGTTTTTACTCTAATTAGGACATAGTCTTCATAATCTTTTGAATTTGCTTTGTGTATATTATGTATATTATACATAGTGTAGTGCTGCACTTATTTTAATAAAATGAGAAACTATTTYAGGCTTTCATAGTAGCTTTTTTTTTCACTCTCTAAACAATGTGTTCTCTTCTGTTATTACATACTGTAAACCAAGTTATTTGGTGGCTAGCTTTACAAAAGAGAGCAAAAAGGCAAAGGTGACATAAAAACGAGTATTTCTCTATACAGAGAGGAATGAAGAGATGCCAGAGAGCCATCTTCAGTCGTCTGGATGCAGTTCACTGTTATCCACAGACCCATCTCCCAAAGACATGACCCTAAATTCTCATGATCTGTCAGACATTTCAGAGGTAAGTAAAACTGGTGAATGCTCAGTTGTTTTCCTTTGGGGTTAAGAGAACAAGTAAGCATTGGTTTTAGTTGTGTATACTGATAGAAGAACAAGGAAATGATGCAAAACTACATCTTGATCTGTCTTATAAAAATACTTTTGACATGTAAACAGTGCTTAAAGTAGCATTTTCTCTGAAGTTCTGAAGAATGTCAGCTTTGAAGATTTCGCTAACTTTGTTGCTTTCAAATTGTAGGAGACAATAAGACAAAGAATGGAAAAGATAAGTAAAATGTAAGTAATTAGAATGGGCAGCAGGAATTTATTTCCCAGAGTGAGTTGTACCTGGACTAAGGCGTACAAAGAATGTACATATGTGTTCCGAGCCTCAAAGGTCTCTGCATCAAGTGTGGCATTTCCTTATGGCTCTACTGGATAGTAATCCACTTACAGTTCTGTATTTGTGGGATAAGTCACAGTTTTGGTTTCTATAAAGCAATACAAAGCACTCTTAATAGGATGTGCTAGAAATGAAAGACTGTTTAAAATTTGGTTGACAAGATGTAGGAATATTATTTATCTCCTGACTGAAATTCCCTGGTACTTGCAACTTTTCTTCCCGAAAAACACCTACGTTATCTTAACTGTTTTCTGTTGTTTAAGGAGAAGTAAAATCTATTTCAGCCTAAGCATTACAATAACTATATTAAGATGAATTTGATACTAATCCTGGGATTTGTAAGGAATTTTTTTTTTGCATATTTTTAGTATACTTGAAGAGAAATGCGTTGATCTATAGTGTTTCTCTGGCAAGAGATTTCTGTTCTCTAATTGTGTGGCCTATAAGAAGCTCTAGCCTTTTCTGTGATTTTAGCTTTATTGTGTGGGTTACTTCTTTCTTTGTGTACTTAAGGCTTTTGATATGTGGTAGGCATTTAAAATACAAATGAATTGCAGAGGAAAAGGGGGAGATGAGAAAAAACTTAGAGTTTCATGCTGCTTGTTAGTATTTTGGATAAGTAGAAAGTTAAAAGCAAGTCAGTTATTTTGTACCTTGTTTTATTAAGCGTGTGTGAACAAAATTTATTTTCAGAATAGAAGAAACCTTCACATTGTTCAAAGCATCAAGCCCACYTCTGAGAATACCTGAAAACATAGAGACCTAGTCTCTGCAGACTTGTGGATACCAGAAGTAATATATATATTTGTACAGCATTAAATTTTTAATATATCAAATCTGTAACAATCACCAGTGCTTTTATTGCTTTGAATAAATATTTTTCTCATGCATCTGTATATTGATTTCCCTCCCCACGACCAGAATTTTTAAAGACTGTTAAATAGCTTCTTCTCCCTCCTTGCACTTTTGTAAATTGAAGTCATTGCAGCAGAGTAATCTTGTGTTGACATTTGTTAGCAGCATGCTAAGTAATATGTTTTTTAAAGTGCGGGCTTGAGGACCGTGGTTTACGTGGTGGAAGCATTCCAGCTGGAACTTGCATATTACACCCAAGAGGCATTGTTACATACCATCTTACCATCTGTACTGTTGAATAAGTCTTAATTAAAAACTTACATACACAGTTTCAAATATGTATCTTTTTTGCTGTTTTTTTTATTTTTAAATATAAATTTTCATGCTGAGCTGGAGAGCACCAGCACTTTATGGCTTCCATTAACACTGACAAAGTGAGGGCCAGTTTGATCCTAAATGCTAAAATGTGCAAGGAAGTCCACAGACTTTGACTGCAAGAGATGTGTTGAGTGTTTTAGTGCTCTTGCCCAACACATTTTAAGAGCAGCAGCACAGATGGAGACCAGCCAGTGTAGAAAGAAACACAACATTTTCATTATTTGAAGCCATATTAAGATTTCTGTTCAGAGGCATAAGTAGATGTAAGACCTCCATAAACATATGATAAACCAAAGATGTGTGAGGCTTGATAAAATTTATTTATTTGTTTATTACTCTTTGTAAATTGGTACCCTATCATATCAAGGTTGTGTTTTAATATTTCACTTAAAAAGATTTTTGGAGTTTAATACTACAAAGCAATCAGAAGTTTTTGGGAGCAGAGTTTGCAGATGAAAGCAAAAGCAGTTTGACATGCTGTAAAAAGTGATTTATGTGTTTCAAAAATAACTATGATTTTTTTTCTATAACCATATGGAATATAAGTGGACTTCATATTACATACAAACAGAAAAACTTAGAGTGGTCTATTATGTTATATGAATTAGTTCAGGGGTTTTTTGACTTCTGCAACAGGACTTACTTTTTCAGTTATTTAAAAGAAACTAAAAAAATGGAAAATTACATGGTTGGAATGTGTTTTGCTCTTTAATTCAAAATAGGCCTTGCAAATCACTTCTCATTATTCTAACAATGAAATGAAATGAGGTTTTCTTTGAAATGTTAGAGAAATTCATGTCTTAACAGGACTGCAGCACCATCTTGTGGAAATCTTCATAAGAAGTCATCAAAGAAATAAAAATTAATATTCCTGTCTGCTTTAAGATGCTATGGTCAAATATTTTTAATTATCKCTCTCTTATTTTTCCTCTTTGCCTTGGAGTCAAAGAGGCTTTTATGTAAAAGACAGTAAGACATTTGTTCTCTATGATATTTGATAATGTTTGTGTCAGGAGCCCGAGGAATTAATCTGTTCGTTGATGTCATGGCAAAAATGAGAAGTGTTTGTCAATATGATTGATTCAAGTTACAGAGATTCATGACTGCATACATCTGGGGCATGCAGCAAGTGTCAGACAGATTTTTCTCTATGTGTCCAATATCATCCCTATTTAGTCCTACAAAATTGAAAATCTTGAGTTGTTCAACTATTTCCTTTTTCAGGTTAAATAGTAATGAAAAGCTAAAATCAAGGATATGGACTAACTAAAGTTTGAGAAGTGCATTATTGTCTTGTAAAGGTTAATTTTTCTGGCGAAAGTGAAAGAAGCCACTAATTGTCAAATTTACTTTTTATTAGAGATGCTTAAAATGCTTTACTAATCATTAGTGAACAGAACTTGAAACAGCTTTTTCCTTTCAGCTGCCTGTTTTGGCATTGGAGGTTAGGCACAATTTCAAACAGTTGCAATTTTAATATATTGTACCTTAAAATTTATTTGCTGCTTATTTACAGTTATCTTTTCAAATATTACATGCTGCATGTAATTACTGTTCAGTTTTTTTATAGGATTTTTTAGCTGTATGGTGGAGATAACTTAATTCACTTAAAATCCTCAGCAGATTATGCTTCCTCAGGAGAAGTATTACATCTACAAAAATTGTTTAATGATAGTATTTTGCTTCTGTGGTAAGTAGACAGATTTCTGCGTGACAGAGGTCTGTGATGTGGTCTTTGTAGGATATTTGGGACGATGCATTCAGATGAGTAATCTATACAAGATTACTGGTTAAAACATTTTAAACTCAAGTGTCCCGAATGGAGAAAAGGAGTCATACCAAAATTATTGTATTCCTTCACCTGAGCATCCCACAGCTCATTTRATGAGGTGTAGTAAACTTAGTAGCTCTATTTAGGCTATGTGACCTTATCTGAGAGAAAAATGCTGTATCAGTCATTGCAAAACTCATTCTCTTTAGACTATCTAGAGCAGAAGCTTGATTTGGAAGTAGTGAGCCCTTTTACTCTCTAAGAGCAAGCTGCTCTAGTTACAGGTTAACAATTAGCATTATGTGGATCACTGATGTTCTGATACRGCATTGTATGTTGGTTTTCCCCTCCCCTTTCCCTTTGTTGTTACTGTAAAGAAAACTTATGCTGTAAAGCAAAATCACTTGATAGGATCAAAATCAACAGAAATATAATTTTGCCARTATTAGGTTTATAATGATAAAATTTTAGCATAAGCAATGTCAAAGGATATTATGCCTCAGGGTATTTTAATCAAAGGTGCATTATATTTTTAAAACCATGTGGAATACTTCAAGGTCTTCATAAACTTTCACACTTGCATGTCTGTTCTCTTCTTACCTGGTGTTGCTGCACTGCATTGAGTGCATTTTGAAATATGAACTGGGATTAAGAGTTGGAGAGCCTTGAATACTTTCCATGAATGCTCAGAATAGTTTCACAAAGCTGAAGTTTTTGGCAGCTTAAGGGATTTCCTCCCAGCACTGATCATTCCCATCTGTCTGTGTTATCAACTGTGTTTTGTAACTGATGTGACTAAAATATACTCTTCTGAAAATAAATAGCGAGGGGTATTGGCTGTATTTTTTGGGGTGGTCTTGGTTTTGTTTTTTTTCTCATTCTCATTAGCTCTGTGATCAGGTAATGGCATTGCATCCAAATGTTTGTGCCTGAACTTTCATTTGGGATAGCCTGCTGTGCTGTCTGTCAGCAAGTAACTGCATCAGTAGAGAGAATGAATCACGTTAGTGTTTTACTGCTGAAGGATGTCTTTATCTGAGTCCACAGTGAGTTAGAAGTGAAGAAGTTCCCATGCGAAGTCCCAATGTACATATTAATGAAAATTTGTTTAATTCATTGTTGAAATGATGGAGTGAATGGRTAATTGTATGTCTGAGAAAAGCATGGGAAATAGGATTAAAGGAAATCTAAATCTTCAGTTTGTAATTATGTCAGTTTTCAAGAGTTGAAATAGCTCTGTTTATTACATGTGCTTGTGGTTTGTTGTTTTTTTTTTTTTTTTCCCTTGGCCAGTTTTTTTGGATTTAGAGACATTTTTTCATATGTTAAAAAAAACCAGAAAAATCCACTCCCTTCTCTGCTGTGTGAAACTACCATAAAATATAAAGGCAAATGCAAACCCAGTCCTTGGGAATATTATTTGAAATCTTTTGTACTGTGTAATAAACATGCATGAATGTGTAACACATTTAAAATATTTCACATAGGCGATCACACTGTATTATAAAAATATGAAACAAATTCTCCTTTGAACTTTAGTTTAACTGTCTGTAGTGATAAACTAGGCAATATGGTTAATGGAGTTTGAAGCATTTCCTTGCTACCAATGTAAGTGAGTTGCAATATACAGGAAGACTCTCGAGTTATTTTCAGCAGTGCATGTTTGTTTGCTCCAGAGGTGATCAAATAGGATGYTCTGTGCATTTCCTATCATACTGACTGATGATCTGGCATTTCACAGTCTTTGTTCTTGTATTGTTGCACAATACATAGTTTGCTTTCTCCAACTGCAAAATTAAGTGATTCCCCATTTTTCTCTTGAGTATGATGTGGTTTGGTTCATTGTTTATGCCTGCTTTAAGAATTACTAAGGAAAAAAGCAAATGGAAGTAGTCCTTTTTTTTCTTGTAATTGAAACCATCCCATTGGAACCTATTGAAGGAACTAAAGGTTAAGTTCATGAGCTTACTTCAGCTTATGTATTAGTGGTGACTTAGTCTGCAGCTTCTTGTAGTTATAAAAGTGGTTGACAGCTCTGATAATTACAGATWAAGTAGTTGTGCTTTTGTGTGAACTACAGAAAAACATGCTGATATGGTGGAAGATTACTAGTCTCAATACTTTATGAAGTTCTTTTTAGCTGAGATATAACAATGTAAGATCAGTGACTCAAATTTTCTGTAAGTTTTTTCATATATCACTGTTGGAGCATCTCTGTATTCTCTACATTACATATACCCTTTTTCATAGAGCAAGAAATTGCTGTGATTGCATGTCATATTAAAAACAAATTTTTTTGTTTGAAACTGACTTGGACTTGCATAATACTGTGTTGATGCACCGATCATTAATTGTCTTCAGTATAGAATATACAGAGAGAAGGGATACAGCTGTTAATGTTACTTTAGCATGGAAAAAAGAAAGAACAATTATTCAAATGATTGAGAAGGCACTGAAATTAATGTTATTTCATAGTTGATTTAAAGACTTAAGCCTTTAGTGAAAGTATGTTTGTTGCAGGCATGTCTTTGACAAGTGTTTGGATTTTAACTGAGTTTTCTGATGGTCTTGCTCCTATTTTAAATGTTGACATAAATATGGACTAATACTGATCTAGTACTACAAGCAGCAGCAATGATCTGAAGGTGTTCTGGTAAGGTTTGTGAGCTTTACTGTACAGGTATAGTTTCACCTTAGCAATAAATAAAGGTAAATTATCTGTGAATCCCTCCTTAAGGGGAAAGGTTGTGTTGAGTAAAGAGTGAACTGAAGTCCTGATAGAGATGTTTATGGCCTTTGAATTCGGACCCCAGAATATGGATGTCTTTCCTGGTTATTGAAGTAAGAGGATTCCTCTGGAGGAAATAAAAATGGAACTGCGAGGGAAGCAGGAAAAAGACTCSGAACCAAAAGTGGGTGTGAGCAGGACGCATTTTCCTTAAGTTACCTTCAGAATGTAATGTGCCTGACAAGCAGCACAAAATAGCAAGGGTGTGCATTTAATTAAAAGCATACTAATTGTCACGTTCCAACCGTAGGGAACTGCGAGGAGTTCTTTTAAAATGGATGGTCAAGAACGAAATGAAGTCAAACGAGACAAACTTTGTATCTCTGAACCATTTATTGGTAACCCGAAAACGGAGAAGTAGTTRCCCACTAAAGGGGGCTGGGAAAGACAGCAAAAGAGAAAGGAAAATGGAAAAGGAATGGGTAGAGAGAGAAAGGAGACAGAGGAGAGCGGGCATTACCGCCAGTAGGACCGGTGAGTGTCATCGGCGTCCAYGTGACAGGGGTGAGCATTGCTGCTGGAGGGAGAGCAGCTCGGGGAGAGGAGCAGCCCCGTGGTGATAGACTGCTGGACATGCGGTGACGCGAGGATCACTGCAGTGGGCGAGGTCAGAGGCAGGCAGGTGGGTCAGGGAGGACAGCGGCAGCTGGCTCAGCGAAGGAGCGAGGYGAGGCAGATGCTACACTGCAGGCTTGGAGGGCAGATGGCGTCCTGCCGAGCTCCCAGGAGGGAAGGGGGATACGTGGTGAGCGAGCAAGAGCTAGCGAGGGCAAAATCCACCCCCAACTCCAGCTCAGCAAAGTCCCCCACAAAACTCCGCAAAGTTCCGCAGTCCAGCTCTCTAAAGTCCACCTTCTCCGATCCCGCTCCCCCAATTTTAGCTCCCCAAAGCGCAGCCCTATTCAACTCCCCCAGAGTCCAGCTCCCCCAACTCTCAGCTCCGCAAACTGCAGCCCGGGACTCACGGCGCAGTCAATTTTTGTACACCCTAGCTCCTCCCAAAGTCTGCCTGGTGACCAGGAGACTATTGGTCCAGTCCAAGCTTCTTCTATTGGTGAAGCCCTTCCATCATCTGATTGGAGAAATGTCTCTGGAGAGAGCAGTGTCTCCAGGTGCCCATGGAGGTGTTGCCAGGCGAAAGCCCCCCAGAGACAAGGCTTCACCCATCTCCTGTTTGCCTCCTGCAGGCTGCACGTGTGCACCCCTTCCCCCACATGCCTCTGACAGGCAGTGTTGAGGCAAACCAAGATTAAAATGGCTCCTCACACTAATTTTAAAGTTAGCTATGTGCTAAAGAGATGATTTAGACCATTTAAAATTAAAACAGTTCAAGTGAGTAGGAAAAATACTCCACATAGTATGGTGATCATATGCATAAGAAGACGGGGTTAGGTACCATACCCACATAAACCGACCAAACAACACTGTGACAGCGGCTCATACCTAAAACACAAATGCTTTGATCAAAATTGTTTCCAACCTGCTCTTGGGCAGGTCTGTTGTTATCTCAACCCTTCATGCTCTACTTTGGGCACCAATTAAGGCTGTCATGGTGTAGAAAAGGTATTCCTCAATTCAGTGCTCCAGCTGAGCTCCAAAACCACACTGCTGCTCACTTTCCCTGCTTTTCCTCCCCTTTCCTGCTGGGCAGGATGGAGTTAAGACTTGGAGGCAAAAAAAGCCAAGATCATGGGTTTGAGATAAGAACAATTTACTAGAAACAGCAATGAGATAAGAAAAAGTACAATAATAGCAACAGCATTAATAACCAAAGGGTTCAAATTGTGATAAGTTGGTTCATGGAATCGCCACATGCTTTATTAAAACAGTTTGTAACACCTTCATGTATCTAAGGGGGGGGGGGAAGGGCACTGCGAACGTGCAGAGAAAACTCCTGCCTCCCCATAACCACGCCTACCAGTGGTCGTCATGGCAACCGCAAAAGACCCCCCCCCAATGACAGCACAACGCAGACACGACGCAGACCAATCAGGATCTCTGGAACCTTCTAGAAACACCACGTCAGAGAGGGTATAAAAAGGGGGGCTCAGGTTACGTGCGGCGCCGTGCCTAGGTGTTGGTGGGTGCGACCCACCTAGCTGGTGTCCTAGGTGCGGCAGGCCACCCGCCTAGCCCGCCCAGCGCTGCTTTTTGACTAGTATCTGGTTAGTATCTGTTCTTTTGTTAATGTTTTAATTAATGAATTGTTAATTGGCTTCTAACCTCCGATTGGCTCTTGAGGATCAATTTATGACAAAATGACAGTGATTACATGCAAAATGCTCTTTTGAGCCCGGAAAGAATCCCTTCTCTCTGGATGAGTGTCCCTTTCCCCTACTGAGACAGACCAATCTGATTTTTATTTATGCACGTAACATGTGTTTTGTGCTGGGAGCTCTGTCCCTCAGGAGGCTTTGCCTGGCACCCACTCATGGCACAGACWGCTGCTCTGCAAGCGCCCTGCCCCCCTTGCTGGTGGGGCATGCCCGGGAAAACAGCGCGCGGAATAAACGCGCGGGAAATCAAGCTATGGGAGAGCGAGGCATATAAAAGCAGCTAACTGCGACATAAGGAGGGCCATTTTCCTTTAGGGAGGGAGCAGGGGCCTGCCTGGAGGTTCACCTTGGCTGTCCTAAACCCCCCGCCCCCGCCGCCCCGCTTTTCCATTTGTTTTCTTTTGTTCCTGTGGTCCTGCCTTCCCTGTCCGGCACCTGTCCTGTCCGTATGCTCTGTTTCGCCGCTTCCCCGAGGCAGCTCGACACTGCGACAACCTCGTGTTTGCTACCTCCCCGAAAGAGCTGCCGCCGCCACCTACAGTCGGTGCCGTGTGTCTGGCAATGCCCGCAACCGCAGCCTGCCCGCAGCCGGTGTTTGCCGACGGCAGAGCCAGGCTGCTCTCTGCCGCCACCCGCAGTCGCCGCAGCCGCCRCACGAGTGGCCACCCTCTCCCTGCTACTGCAAAAACTTAATCCTGTCCTGCTACGAACCAAGATACATAACAACATTACTTCAGCAAATGCTTTCATAAACATTTTAACAATGAAAGAAGATGGAAAGTGACAATATCTTGAATCTTGTACAAATCACAAACGTGTAAATAAGAGGAGAAATCTTAATTTGACAGGTTATCCCAAGCTGCCCAGGTGTCAGAGAGGGTTTCTGAGCTTTAGGTGATAGACCTTTTGGACCTCTGCTGACCGACCACAGCAGCACACTTTAGCACATAGCAAAGTATAAAATGTCCGTAAGTTACATTGTCTTGATTATTCATTTGGCTCCTCATTTACAGTGTCTTGCATTTTTGTCATCATTTGAGTGCCTTCAGGCATGTTTAGGGTATTTATTTCTGTTATGCTTATGTATTTAATGGTTGGGGGGCATGAAGTGAAGAATAATTGGTGTGTTTTTTTGTTGTCTGCCTGAGTGAGATTTAATGTGAACACTTAAACCA